TCTATGTCTCACTGACTGCAGGAGAACATGGACCAGTGGACTCACTCCTTCACTGTATCCAACAGATCAGTGAGTGGATGCAAAACAACTTCCTTCAGCTAAACGCAGACAAAACTGAAATGATTGTCTTTGGTCCCCAGAAACAAAGAGAGAGCGTCATCTGTCACCTACAGTCTCTCTCCCTAAAACCTTCAAACAAGGTCAGAAATCTAGGGGTAATACTGGACTCAGACTTAAATTTTAATAGCCACATCAAATCAGTAACATCAGCAGCTTTTTACCATCTAAAAAACATTGCCAGGATCAAAAACATAGTGTCTAAAGCAGACCTGGAGATTCTTATCCATGCATTTGTCTCCAGTAGGTTAGACTACTGCAATGGCCTGCTCACAGGTCTGTCCAAACAGGCTGTAAAACAGCTGCAGTACATTCAAAATGCAGCAGCTCGAGTCCTGACTAGAACCAGGAAGTACGACCATATTAGTCCGGTCCTCAGGTCTCTGCACTGGCTTCCTGTGGCTCAGAGAATAGACTTTAAAACAGCTTTGCTTGTGTACAAGTCTCTCCATGGCCTCGCACCAAAATATATTAGTGACATGTTAGTCCCATATGAACCAGCCCGGACTCTGAGGAGCACAGGGACTGGACTCCTGTTAGTGCCCAGAGTCAGAACTAAACATGGGGAGGCTGCTTTTCAGATCCATGCTGCTAAAATCTGGAACAATCTTCCTGAAGAAGTGAGACAGGCCTCCTCTCTGACAATGTTTAAAACCAGGTTAAAAACGGTGCTGTTTAGCTGTGCATACAACTGAGGGATTTTATATTTTTATCTTTCGTTTTAATGTTCTGTAATTATTTATGATTTTAATGCTATCTTGTTCAGCACTTTGAGTTGCCTTGTGTATGAATTGTGCTATACAAATAAACTTGCCTTGCCTTGCCTTGCCTAAGTAACAACGAACAACAAATAACATTATTGACATGGCTTTTTCGCAACCACCTACTGCAGTGAATGTCCAATTACATAATTGTAGCTCAGACAGCAATAATGGCATGAGCCACAAAGCCACAATGGCATCGTATCAAATGAGTAGGAATAGTCTACACTCTACAGTAAAAGCAAATTTTATTCAAATAAGATAATTAAGAGAACAATGGTAATGGTGAAATCACTCCGCAATATTCAACTTGTATCTGTTTGTTATTTTGCTTATGAGATGGCAAAATAAGTATGGATTTGCGATATTCACCAATGTTTCCTTGTGGCGTTGTTATTCTATCCACACAAACCGGACCTAATTATGTTTTCCACTTTGTTAAGGTGCCCTCTTCCTCCATCTGTTCCACTGACGTGTGTGTAATAGCCCAGACATGGCTAAAACATACACACCTTTTTACACCACTTCAGAGAGACAGGCAGGTCAATGCATTCTTTTACATCTGAACCGCCAATCAAGTGTGGCACAAGACATGGGCGCATGGATTCCGAGCGTCTGCATGTTTAGTGCATGAATATAGAGTCCAGTACAGCTGTCAACACCGGCCTTCGGGGTGCCAACACAGGACCAGCTTATTGTCCATATATGTGCATGTTATTCCAAGACAAGTTTTAAGTGGACAATTTCTATGCATGTATGCATGAGCGTATATGCTTGAAAAGAGAGATAGAGGAGGCAGTCAGTGTTGAGAAACAGAAGCCCTCTGTTCAAATCTGTCACTTTAATGAAAAGCGCAAGGCCCTACGTGACGTGGGGATGATATATTATGACTAACCCCAGATAAATCAGCAACTTCCACTGTTTTGAAACAAGGAAGTAACGCATCAATCCTACCAAATCTAGAGAGAGGAGAGACCATTTCATTTTGGTATTGTGCAACGAAAGTGATTTAATAACCCCTCTCTTTTCTGCTTATGTCATGTCTAGAGCTAAAGCGACATAGATAAAGTGTAAGCAAACAAAGTCAAAAGTAAAGAAGTATACTTTGGTAAAACAGTTCATAGAGTGGCTGCCGCTAGAAGTGATGCTGATCCAGGAAAAAAAATATGTGTAGAAGAATACAACAATGGCTGCACAGGAAATCTATAGGACGGAGGGAAATCAACATATCACAGCCTGTAAGAGGACAAGCATCAAGCAATCCCACTGTAGGCCTCAAGGTGCCACAGTGACCAACTCGATATAGTGTAATATTGTAAAATGTGCTAAAAAAAAAAAAAAAAGAAAAAAAAAAAAAAAGTTATTTAAAAGTCCTTAATACTATTCAGTACAATAAGGATGACTTTTTCTTTCCAGTAAAAGGGAAGGAAAACATCCCATTGGAGATTCTTTGACTTTGTACAATGACCTCATATCACTGTCTAAGTGCTAGTTCTGAGATGTATTCCACATAATTGTTATGTCTGTTGTCACTGAAGACTCGAGCGGTAATGGCTTCTAAAGACCGAGACATCCACTTCCACACGAATCGCAGGTGCTTCGCGAAATGGGTGGTTTGAAGTTAAGAGCATAATAGCCCACACGATCAATCAAGCCATATATATTTAGAAACTGTCGTGATAGCCCGACAACTCAATCAAAAAGGGTCCATGTCAAATCTGTTCAGAAAACACTAGAACATGTTTATCCATACATTCTTAGTTTGTTTAATTTTTCAAGAATAAACTCTTGAACATAAGGAGAATAATCAGATTTTCCAATTTTGAATGAGATAAGTAGATCTTAAAATAGTTGTCACTTGACAATACTAAAAGCAAAAGAAAATGTTGCCTTTCAACTGTTTATTTTTATTGCATCCCTGTAATACTCCACATGCCAACATATAAAGTGAAACCACTAGACAGTCCCTTGGAGAGACGTTTCCAGAAGCACACAGATATAAAGCTATGGTCACTTTATAGATTCAATAAGTCTCTTACACCTGTGTGGCTAACCAACATCGATCCAACATTCTTTGAGGCCCAATCCAATTTAAAGTGTTGAGGAGCCAGAGCCCTGCAGCCTTATCCAAACCTGGGCGACAGGCACCACAAAGCCTGCTTATACATCCATCCTCTCGAGTCTGCGGGTGTGACAGTGCACTGGCAGTGAATGTGCGAGGGAAATGGCAAACCCAGTTAAACCTCACCTGCTGGCTCGTGTTAGAGTGTGCTGTGCCATTTTGAGCAAGTTTGAAGAAATAGAATGAGATGTGCATTGAGGAAGCATAGGCCAAATCTTGTGTTGTCTTAATGTTTATGTACAATGCCATACTAAAAAGAAGGGGGAAAAAAAGCAGTGGTTTGAACGATGGGAAGATACAGGCATGCTTCTGGTATAGAGAAGGCAATGATAGTCGTATAGGGGCCTGGCGGAGTAAACCTTTGTCTGGGATCCAATGGCGGCTACTGTTAATGGCTCTAGTTGGTCGGGAACCACTACGCCCATCCAATTCTGTGTTGTCGCAAACAGCTCAACCCATATTTATTGACCTTCTCCATAAATGCTCTTTGCATTACAATAACAGCAATGGATTGTAAGAATATACAGTATGGACAGTATTGCATCCCTAAGGTGCAAGTATCAGCAGGAAACTAACACAAGTACAACAAAAATAACATGGAACAATTTTGATAATAATCTGAGGCATGAGAAAGAGGAATAAAGGATATCTTTACTGCAGCAGTAATCAAACTACTCAACAGTCATATCAAAGTCTACCAGTGGGAGCAACAGCTATTGGCCAAGTGATTTCTCTCTGCTGACAACAATGAGAAATTTCCCCCAGTCTCCTTTGGTACGAAGGCTTAATAGCAGCTCCAAGAAAAGTTGTGACTGACCATTCAAATCTCCATTTTGCCACTAATTACAATGTCTTATTGAGCAGATGTTGAGATTCAGTTCTTCTTGCTTTGTGGCTGGCGGATTGAAACACCCGTGAGTATTTAAAACAGTAGGAAAAGGCACTGAGCTGTGTAAGAGAAAAAATAGTTGTTTAAGTGCTGGTGAGGTGACGAGGCCTAAAGACAACATCCGGACTGCAGCCAAAACATTAGAACAAAAATTATGACAAATTGAGGTGGGGTGAGGTAGGAAATGTGCGCTCATTAGTTCAAGTGAAGATAAAATTAAGCCAAGCTTTAGTGTTTCAGAGTAATCATAGACTGTATATATTAACGGACAGAGTCACGCCTATCTCCGTCGTTCTAACTAATGGGCCAAAAAATGTGCTCTACTGGAGCAATCCAAAATGGCCGCGAGTGATCCCGCCCACAAGAAAATAGTGAAAAAACGCATCTGCGCATGCGTCAGCCGGCGCAACTCCATTCATTTGAACGAGAGACTTCAAAAATTCACAGCATGTAAACTAGAGTGGACCAAAAAAATGCACCCCCCTCAGCATTGACACACATGTGGAACGGAGCTTTGGGCCAAGAGGCAACTTTTGGTCCATCCTGTAAAGACGTTTTTGAGAGGTCTGCCAATGCTATATGTTAGCATTGGCAACTAATTCTTCTTCTGGGTCCACCCCCATTGGCCCGGGGTGGTATTGCAAGCATGTCAGCGCACGTCATTTTGGCCACTTTTGAGCTGGGACACACCCCCGCTGAGAGTAACAGAGGTACAATATGTGAGATGAGAAATTATTAAGCCAAGGAGTCTATTGTTGATTTTATTTTGAAGACCGGAAGCGCATAAATCAGAGCCATTTGGGCAACAGCTCTCAATCTTTTCATAAACAAATTCAATGAAAGTGGATAGTATCACTTCATTTAGTGTTAATTACCTTAAAATAGTTAAATTACCACATCCCTCATTATAGTAGTGAGCAACTTAAGATTGAGTTTCGAGTGAGGTGGAAGGAGGGGAAAGAAATGCACAAAAATAGGGGAAAGCTAAAAGAAGAACAAAAAATCCACACCAATAACAAGCAATTATGTTTGGGGAGGGACATTGTGAGACCACTGGAGTATAGGAGACAACGGAGATATGGGCTGGTAGGGAAATGAGGAGGAGTGTTATTTAGGAGGCAGATGGCAGAGGGGGAGAAATTAAGATGAATGGGCGCCGAGCGGGCTGAGCTGGTGCTGGGCAGAGAAAAGTAATTAGCTGTGTTTGCACTGTGAGGCTGGCAGCGACGGTAAAGCCGTGAGCTGCGTTCATCAAGGCTAAAAACTGCCAGCAGGGGGCACCGGCGCCAGGAAACCCCCAACACCTTTTTCATGTACCGCACTGCAAGGGCTGTTTGAGACAACAGAACGAAGCTGCTTCTTAACAGGAATTCCATTTTACTGTAATCCGCTGTTTAAACAATACGGGCCCCTGCGCTCTCCAAGGCAAAGCTGAAAATTGCAATTGCATGCACCCTACAAGGATGGAAATGTATCCTCTGTTATAAGAGTGTATGGATAACTCAAAGCATTACTAAGGATTAAGATTAAACAAACCGCTTTGAAAAGGCCATTAAAGTAGATTATACAACTTGAGATATAGGTAAAAAAGCCAAAAGTAATGATCCTTCTAACAAGTCCCTCAAATGAAAAGATGGCATTTCTTAACAGTGGGTGTCATGGAGTTAATAGGCAGGCACATACTTCTTCAAAACTAATGGCCTGAAGTCTTCATCACCAATGCGCAAATTCTAGATTTGATCCATTAAGTTATGTTTGTGTGACATCAAACATTCCAAAGAGCCTATACGTTTAAAAATTGTGGTTGAGGGAGAGTTGAGAAATCTTTGCTGAAAACACAGTGTGTGGCCTCCTACTGGTGCCAGGAGTCAGGACAGAACATGGGGAGCCTGTGTTTCAAATGTATGCAGCTAAAATATAGAACAATCTTCCTGAAAATCTCAAAGAGGCTTCTACTCTGAGAATATTCAGATCCAGGTTAAAAACAGCTCTGTTTAGCTGTGCATACAATGTAATGATCTTTCTTTGATGTGATCATTTGTATGAACTGTGCTGTACCAATACACTTAAGTTTATAGCTAATTTCTCAGTAGTTCCAGGGCCAATCCAGATGAACCAAAACTTTCATGGGGATTCATGTCAAAAGGTTTAAAATCTTTATTGTCAGTGCATATGGTCTAATTATTTCCTCATGAAAGGAGTGTAGAAGTGGTGAAAGTATTAAACAAAAAAACATGATAGTAGAAAGGAAGGTTTATGAAACCTAATAATAATCCAGATAACATTTCAGTCAGAAATTGCTTCTCAGAGTTGTATTGGCAACCCCCCCAAGCTGCAAAGGAACTCTAGAACATGAACGCAACCTACACAAGTGCATTCCTTATACTTTGCCACAGATCGAAACATTTTTCAACACTTTCTTTTCTGCAGGTTTAGTTCAGCTCCACACTAATTTACCAGTCATCATTCATCACAGAAGTGTTTTTGTGCTTCTCACCCAAAGGTAGGTTCATCATAACACAGTAATGGTTGCTCAGAGCGTCACAGGCCTTCAGCTTTCAGATTATCAGAGTCTCAGTGTCTACAGCTCAAGCGATCCTTCTTCCTCACATCATTTCTTTCTATTTCTGACGTTACAGCCACCTCGATCCGTCTCTTTCCTCCCACCCTGTATATCTCCCTCCCCCTTGCCCCTTTCTAATCTAATTTCAGATAAGTTGTAGCAGAACAACAGAGCAAGGCCTTTTATCATTGCCATCAATGATGTGGGTGGATTGAGAATGAATAATTTTGTTCACGTGCGCCTGCAACTGGCCCACTGGGATTGGAATTACAAGTAATAAGGGGTAATAAGGTTACAGCGTAATTTTCTAAATCCCTCAGTGGTGATTGAAGAAAACATTTGAATAGATGAAAACTACTACTGTTAAACAATTTGTAACAGTATTATTATGATAATCAAGCAAACGAGACAACAGCCTATTTTTAAGTTTACAAAATGAATGAATTTTAAATTGATCCATTATTTTGTACAGTAGACATAGGAGAAATGCAAGCCACAATAAAAAGAAGAAAATGGTTTCTATTGGAAAATGTATGCATATAATAACAAATATAAAAAATATTAAATAAATATAATAATATAAATATATTCTGCACATACTAAATTGTGACTGTATGCACTTTGTAAGGCACAAAGAATGAAAAGGAACAAAGACCTTTCTGGACAAACAAAGCAACACAAAATGGCACATTTGAGTTAGAAATGTTAAAGCACGAGCTTCAGCAGTGGAGAAAGACAAGAGAAGCCAACATGCACATAAGCTTTGAGATTTCAAATGTTGGTCTTTACCGTAGACGACAGGTCTGAGAACCTGCCTAAAAGAGCCAGGGCTGATGGTCATCTGCTGGTTTTCTGCAGAAAAACATTTTCCATTTGCGACGAGAGTAATGGAAACATAATAGGAGCCTTGAAATGGTACAAGCACAAGTGTCTGTAAAGTACATATTGTCCTTACTACACTATGGCAAATTCCAGTTGACAGGGTAATACAGTACTTCAATGGGAACAAATAAAAGTGCAAATTTCCTTGTGGCTTATAAATTCAGTATAATAAACATCCAGGCATAAAAGTGGTACAAACATTACATAGGAGAATAGCAGCATCTATTCTATGAGCTCCTCACCCTTTCTGTAAGCGAGGGCCAAGCCAAACGCTAACATCCACAACCTTGTCCTTTTAGCCATTACCCAAAAGTCATGATCATTTGTGAGGAGGCCCCAGGTCAGACGCTGGAGTGACTACATTTCTTAGCTGGGATCCCTCAAAAGAGCAGTCTAAATTCTGGCCGTCTTTGCTCAAGACCGTTGCCTCCACGATCTTCATAAAGCAGAAGCAAATATATGGAAATGTTTTACCTTTTTTGTTAGGGTAGCCAAAACACATAGCTAAAAAAATTACTCTAATTATTCACGTGTAACCAAGTAGTGTAACCCGTACAGAAAATATAACCACTGTTTGGGAGGTTAATCTTTCACTCGCTGTTGTGAGGAAGACCACAGTGTACAAGCCCTTTACACACACACGTCTACCAGGAGATAAGCCGGCTACAATCCAGAGTGCTTGGCTTTTTGTACAGTCTGACCTTTATTCCGACTTTGGAGATGATCCTTCCAGGGTGTAAAGTTTGGGTTGGTTCTCTGATTGTACAAATCAACATTTTCTCCAGGAAGAGCCGCCTCTTCTGCTAATGGAGAGTCTGGTGTGCAAAAGCTCTGGTGCACATTAAGATCTACTTATTTTTATTTAAGCAAGGTGTCTGGCATTTAAACACGTGGTAAAAATATCAGCGTTTGTATTGCTGATACGTATTCATTAGTATTGTAGACAGATGTTGCCTTTTATTTAATCTAGTGAGTTTAGTAATTAAAGCTTGAGCACCTACTGTAACTTTGTTTTGGTCACCAATTATTTTTTGAGTGTCCCAACACAAGCAAAAGCCATCTTGTTTAAGTTACATTTTGTGACCACAAAATGCAATTAGTTGCAGTGCAAATGAATTAATACTATTACATACTGAGAACTGATTGGCTAAATATGAAAATTAGTGCAAGAACTAAACCATTTTAAGACCTAAGAAATAGTTGGATTTTATTACATAGATGATGTGTTGTGTTTTCATAGTTAGGTACTCCAGCTTTCAGCATGACGATTGTCAAAACTGTATCACTTTGGCATCTGAATACAACTGTTGTGTAAGATTTGCAACTTCTAATAGCGTGCTATCTGTGCAATTCCATTTAGAGGCCTTACTCGACATTATGTAACTAATGGACAAGAATTTTGCTTCCAACCAAACGAGCCTTCAAATGGATTATGTGTGTATAACCTTTATAGAGTTGTGTCTGAAAGTAGGGAGAAGACATGAGCCTCACCTTTGGGTCGCGGCGCTCGCTTCCTGCGGTCTCTGAATGCAGCTCCAGACTGCAGGGCTTCCAGCAAACTATCCATCACTCCTGTCTCATCGTTCTCTGCAAAACCCAGCGAGAAAAATAATGAGTGGGACAGAAAAAAAAGGAGAAGAGTGAAACAGAAAATCAGATAAGATGCTGCAGGTAAGGCATAGCAACATGTGAACACCACAAACTCTCCTCCGTTGATACCAAACCTGAAGGCATAACTTTTGATTATTGTAACTCAGTGGGGGGTACCATAAAATAAACTCTTTGAAGCCACAATATCACATTAAGAGTCTCCGTGCAGGTTGCCTCAAAGAATATAAATTGGACCTCTAGGATTTCAGCTATTTATTTATTGGAAGAAAAAAAACAATTCAATCACATTGTTATTTGGTATTTAAATGCTGTCTGTAGTTCTGTGGTCATCTATTAAGTGGATGTTTTAGCTTGTTACTTAAAGAGGGGCAAAAGTATTTAGTCAGCCACCAATTGTTGAAAACATGAGAAAAGCATGTACTTTTCATCATAGATAAATATCAACCATGAAAGACAAAATGAGAAAAAGTGGGAGGACTTACAAAATTGGTGGCAGACAATCTGCCACCAATTTGTAATTAATTTTTGATTGGATATGACTTCAACAAACATCCTACTGTAATACATTATTAAATGGTCTAGGTTAGACAGCATTCATCCCTGATAGTATATTTTAGTATTATTAACAGAATGCCTTTCTATAATCCTAGAAACATCGTAAATCTCTGTAATATGCTTAAGTTCTCCTTTGTGCACACCAATTTTCTCAACAATAAAAATATGTCCAATGGTATGAATGTGCATAGTGAAAGGTGGTGGAGGTCAAAGACCCCGGCGTGCGGCCGTGGGGTTGTCCAATTTCTATCACTACAGAATGTTCACATACTTTACCAGAATGTCCATACAAAATGTCACCTACATATTGTTTTCTTTTTTTTAGTAAGGACAAATACAGAAAAATGCCTGTAAAAAAGGCTTGTAGGACAGCAGTGTGATGCATCATAGTGCTTATAACAAAATGTCATTTTAAACACCAAATGTATTTTGGTGAAATTTTTTTGTGACCAGACTGTGGTGCCAAACGATAGGGGAGGGAGACATTGACTTAAAAAATATTATATGAGTATTGAGATAGTAGCTCACATGTTAAGTCAAGAGTGGGTCCTCGTGTTTTTGAAATGTTTACAGAGGAAACCTCTAAACTAAAATATGAAGCCCTTGGTTTGCTGTATAATAGAGCCGTGGAGGACGAGCTTTGCCGATATGGCATGTAAATCATTGCTGCGCTGGTACAGTGGAAAACTGAAGCTCGACACCTGAGGCAGAGTGATGGACTGGGCTGGTAATTCTCAGTGAAAACAGCCCCCAGTGCATGTGCAGCAAAATAGATAGCAGGTATAAAAGAAGGCTCCCAGACAAGAAGCTTTGTCAATATAAAGTTTGGCTTTGTGTATTTTTCATGCAGAAATGTGCAGTGGTTTCTTACAATGCAGCTTTTGTGTTGCTAGTGTAATACAGGTTACATTCCCCAATTCACTTTTTCCATGATTGAATTTCCATTTTGTTTGTGCCTATGTATTGTGGTGTGAAGTATGACACATTGTGCTGTATACCAGCTGTACGTGCCTAGGTTTAAGGATTTGGAAAGTTCTCGGATATTTTGATCAAGTATGTATTTTAACCTAACCTTGCCTGCAAGCTGAATTCTCGCGGTATTTGTGAGTTCACAAACACTCGAGAATACATCTTGTACCGCTCCCGCTTACACTTTTCGAGTCGAACCACTGGGTGTGCGAGCCAATCACGCGCCAGTCTGGGGGTTTAGGGCGGGATATCCGGGTTTGACGAAAGCAAGAAGTGCCGGGCCGAAGCAAAACAAACATGGCTACGCAGGAGGACGGACGCGTAGCTGAGGCTATCAAGTCAGTTTTAGCAGAATCTCCAATTTCTTTTTTGAAAGATGAACAGCGAGAGGCGCTTTGTGCATTTCTGGACGGCAAAGATGTTTGTGCATTTTTACCTACGTAAGTCAAACCTTGGTAGGCGGGCACACAGCGTCACTTCGCCCAATCAGCTTCAAGTATTCTGCTGCTTATCCCTCCTTTCCCCGAAAGGATTCTCCGTGAGAAATCCCAGATTGATATCGCGGAGAACGCGTTAGAGTTCTACACAATCATCAATCTGGCTCTTGCCAGGTTAATTTTAACCAGGGGTGGGACCATAGACTGTAAATATTGACAGACGTAGTCATGCCCATCTCCGCCGTTCAAACAAATGGGCCAAAAATTGTGCTGTACTAGAGCTATCCAAAATGGCCGCGAGTGGTCCCACCCACAAGAAAATTGTGAAAAAAACGCATCTGCGCATGCTTCAGCCGGCGCGAGCCCCATTCATTTAACAAGTACCTTAAACAATTCACAGAAACTAATCTAGAGTGGTCCAAAAAAAATTCACTCCCCTCACCATTGAAACACACGTAGAACGTAGCTTTGAGCCAAGAGCCGACTTTTGGTAAGCTATTGCTATATGTTAGCATTGAATCATTCTTATTCTGGGTCTACCCCCCCATCGGCCCGGGGTGGTATTTCAAGCATGTCAGCGCACGTCATTTTGGCCACTTTTGAGCCGGGACCCGCCCCCACTGGGTACGACAAGACGAGACAGAAAAAGATTGTGTCCACGAGATAGAGTTCAAGTGATTGGGTTCAACACTATTTCAATAGCGATTCTAGATGTATCGGCTTACATGTTTGGCCTTTGTAGATTTCTGTAGAGTAAAACCCACACTATTGTTAACTACCAGTTTTTACCTCCTACCAGGAGGGAAAGGGATTGCCAGGGTTTTATGTTGGTATGTGAGCCACATAAGTTATTGGAGGATTCAGAAATTTTCAGGAAAAATGTGCAATGGCCCAGTGAGAAAAGTAATCAACAATGGAAGTAATCACCGTCTGTATGCAGAGATTTTTTTAATTAAAGGAATGGATTGCGTCTTGTTCAGAGGACTGCAAAGAGATGACTGCAAAATCCTCCTAAAACAATCTTGTATAGCCCTATATCACAACAGGCGGTACAGGGATTAGTCAAAGCAAAGAAAGGTTTCTCACCCCTCATCTGTACTTCTTAGCAGGTTTTCCCCAACGTTTCGTCCTTCATCTAAAGAACTTTTTCAAGGGAATGAAATCTCAGACCGCCAAGGAGTTAGCATCAGGATTAGGGTGTGGCTAACCACACCCTAATCCTGATGCCAACTCCTTGACAAACTAAGGTCTATTTGATGTGGAAGGGAGCAGGTCTAACGACCCTGCTGGGGCTAACGATCCTAACTCATTAGCATGTCACAGACCAATTGTCTGCTGAGATTGCTCGAGTGGAGTGCAGGTCTAACCACTCCTAAATCAAAAGCACGTAGTAGTAGTAGTAGTAGTTTATTCGGTCATTTCATTCCTTTAAACATAAAACAAGCAACATCATAATTTGTGCACAAACGACCGAAAGGGTTTAGGCTGAAGTAAAAACTTATTGGGCCTCATTCACGAACGGTTCTTAGGAACAGATTTGTACGTAAATCTTACTTACGAGGTTTTTACGAAGAAAGTGGCATTCACGAATTTTTCTCGTAACCAGAATTTCTCTTGGGCAAGTACAAATCCTACGAGTCCTCAGGAGCACTCGTACGCATTCAGTCCCGACATGCTCGCACGCTGGTGTTGTGTAGTTCAATAAAACACAACATTACAGTGATATGTTTGTCATATTGATGTATGCATTTATTTATTTGTAGTAATCTTTATTTATATACCGCCTTTTTCACTGCAGATCTGGCCTATTTTTTTAATTCATTTTGAAATGAAATGTGCCAACGCTTTATCAAATACATTGGAAATCTTGCCGTGTATTAGTGACCCCATCCTAATTATTGGGGGCATTTCTTTATCCACGGGCCACAGAACAACGGCACATTAACTGCTGCTGCAGGAGGTTACGGGGTCCGCGCTGAGTCTCTGCGCTGGTCTCTCCTATGGATCTATACGGGTCTGCACTGGTCCCCCCCATGGATCTATACGGGTCTGCACTGGTCTCTCCCATGGATCTATACGGGTCTGCACTGGTCTCTCCCATGGATCTATACGGGTCTGCACTGGTCTCTCCCATGGATCTAGACGGGTCTGCACTGGTCTCTCCCATGGATCTATACGGGTCTGCACTGGTCTCTCCCATGGATCTAGACGGGTCTGCACTGGTCTCTCCCATGGCTCTAGACGGGTCTGCACTGGTCTCTCCATACGGGTCCGTGCTGGTCTCTCAAGTCTGGTCTATGCGGTCTCTCTTCGGTCCGCGCTGGTTTCTGTGTGCTGGTCACTCCAGTCTCTCCTCGGGTCTGCATTGGTCTCAGCGCTGGTCCGCGCTGGATCTCCTCCCAGGGTCCAAAATGTTTTGAGATTAATCTCAAAACATTTTGAGATTCATCTTTAAAATAATACATAATATAATTTTTAATTAAGCTCATAACATTTTGAGATTAATATCATCATATTCTTAGATTAATCTCATAGTTTTGCTAGTTCGACTTTATTCTCATAATATTTTGACTTTTAAGTCAAAATTTTATAACTTTATTCTCAGTCTGGTAAAAGAAGAAAAAAGGGTGACTCTTTTGCTCCGTGTAACTCTTTGCTTTAGGCCTGTTGCTGTTTCCTCTGGCGACTGCACACGGCCCTGCAGTCCCTTATATGGGCATTAATGGGCGGTTACCTATGCTAAGTACCTATGCTAATGAATCACCGGGCACGCGCACTGTACTTACGAGGAAATGGCATTCATCAATCTAAGAGAACAGCTGCGAACAATTCAGCGGCTTAAGAGCGCGTTGATGAATCCCACGTAGACTCTTCTTAGAAATCTACTTAAGAACGACTTGAGAAGAAATTTAACAAGTTTCTTACGAAGTTATTCGTGAATGAGGCCCATTGTGCCTAACCCAATTTACAAACCTCCACGAGAAACAAACAAACATTTATCGTAAACAATATCAA